ACTCATGTGATCACGTGTGGGATCGGCCGATGAACTTAATTTTTTGTTTACAGTATTCTTTTTTTATAAACGGGAGAAGTGACGTTCCAAAGTCGATGCGAAAATAATTTGACTATATCTCATACAAATGATGTTGCATTAAAGCGGAAAAAGGACAGTGATTCATTTACCGATTCTGCCGCGCTGAGGGAGAACGCCGTATGAACCTTCAAGCATTACCAAATCTCCTTCGATAAAACTCAAATTTCTTACTTTTCCTTTCACGTTTTCGGATGATTTTTTTCGCAATTTCACCTAAAGTTCGCGAAAATTTCAAGGAAAAATGGACGCATTTCTATCAAACGGAACTAAGCGCCATAGGGAGAGGAAGGTAGGAGGGGGCTTGGATTGGCGGCGGAAACGGGCGTCCTGCTCGTTCCGTCCTATACTCTCAATGCTTTTCCATGGCGCTTAGTTCCGTTTGACAGAACGCGCTATCCGGGATTCTAAATTCCTCAAAAGGAACTCAAATTGGCGCTTAGTTCCGTTTGACAGAAATACATCCAAATATTCATAACTTTTCCCAAAAATAATCATTTTATCGGAGGAAATTTGGCAACTTTCGGATGTTCATACGGCGTTTTTCCTTAGCACGGTAGAATTGGACCTCATCTTGCAATAAATAACAACTTATTCCGGCTCATCCATAAAAGCACCTATCTTTATATGGAAGTAAATGGCATATACATTGTTCCTAAAATGAGCTGGGAATAGTAGTTCCTTGTTGCAAAATGTGGTCCATTTATTCAACGCTGAAAATCTGGAGCCCCTTTCAAGATGGTAGATGTCATAAACTTTTGAAAATCGACGACAGGAATTTCCTTGGAAAATATTCCGAACAGGAAAGTATCAAGAATATCAAACCACCAATAAATTTCCAGTTGACAGTGGATGCGATGCATGAGGTGCCAGTAACGAGGCGTGAATGATCGATTATCGATATTTACCCATTTGAAGCTGTGGTGAAGAATCGATTATTAAGGTGTTCGCTGCGAACACCCTGTTTATCGATCCTGTTCCATAGGTTTAAATGGCAGATCAATCGATATATCGCAAAGCACGCCACGCCACAGCCAGAAGATGCGTGAATCGAAACCTATCCTTACTTTCCTACCTTTGCATTTTAGTCCCCAAGCCTATCCTTTTTGTTACCAATCGAACTTTCTTAAGTTCTTCAAATTTTACTGAACACACCAGAATAACTTATAAGTGACTGAAAGATGCTCTTTTAGAGTTCAGTATAAAGCAAAAAAAATTGTCAAAAACTTGTTTGTTGTTGTAGGATTGCCGAGGGAGACATTTTGCAATTCGGACCTACAATATCTGGCTCATCTGTAAAAACACTAATGTGCATAGGGAAACTAATGGTACCTACGTTGTTTCTAAACTGAGCCAGAAATTATAGTTCCAAATTGCGAAATGCAGTGCATTTAGTCTCTTGAACCCGCGAAACACAATTGCTCTATAAAAACACACTCTGGCTTTTCACAAACTTGTTTGCACCTCTCAAATCCGTCACATTTTAACGAATCCTCATAAAAACTTCAGACTTTATATAAAAAAAATCCGTGGTTTTGATTGAGCTGGCATATAGACAAATCGCCCTGTATCATAACTTTCTAAAATCATAATGGATTCGCTTGGTCGGACATAACCATAAAAACTACTAGGAAAACGCATAATTGTGAAGCCTCAAGCAAAATTCACTCACACGATTTGTGATTTTTGAATGTTTCCTGTTAATTTATGCCCAAATTTGAAGGTAGTGATGAGAGAAAAGGGCGTGGAGAGACGAAAAACTGGTCTCTGATACGAAAATAGCCTGCAAGAAAAGAGCTTACACAGAGTATGCCCGTCCATTCAAATGAGTCATCATCCAAGTCTATTTCTGCTCATATTCCACAATTTCATAAGCCCGACAAAGCTAGTTTCCGCGAAATGCGGCATATTTTTGTGCTTAAATTTTCACAAGAGTAAGAGCAATGAAGCAAAGTGTTTTAGGAGCTAATTATGCCTCCTACATAAAAAAATGTTATTCAGACCATTTTTGTGAATTTCAAAAGTTGAACCCATCCCATGCTGACTTTCAAAAGGATCTATTTTTTAGAACCTGATTACCTAATCAGTTGACACCATTTTTGCAGTGTCAAGAGAAGTTTTCAACTATACACGTGTCCATATTTTCCTTATTTCACAACGGTAATAATGCTGTTAAACATATTGAAGTGCGTCAAAATTTCACAAAAAAATTCATACTGAAAAATTCCATCTTTCGTTGAATCTTATGCAGATTAACTAACCCCATTGGGAACTATGTTCTTCGTCAGTGCACTCGAAGCTTATGATTGTGGTCTCTAGGAACCAATATAAGGAATTAATTTAGGGCTGGCAAAGCTCCATAACCACTTGGTCAAGTGCGCTACTCTCGACCCAAGGACACGAATACGGGACTGGTCGTTTCTTCCAAGTAAAATAAGAGCTCATTTGTACAATCCGCCAACTATTTAAACAATGCTCCTCAGGAGAGTAAAATTCAACGAGTGTCACTTAACGAAGATCGGTTAAAAGTATTCTATGCTCTATTCCATTATCAGGTAATGCATTAGCACGAGTGTTTTTCTACGAAAAAGTGGAGGATATGAAAGACGAACCAGTTTTTTCCAATTTTTCGAGCGTGAAAATGTACCTACTATACTGCCGTTCTCAGGAAAAGCGCCGTATGTGCATTCGAGAATTGCCAAATTTCTCTATATAAAAAATGTATTTTACAGGAAAGGTGTGCATAGTTTTCCTTGAAATTTTGAGATATTTTAGATTAAAGTGTGCACAAAATTGCCTGAAAAATTTGCAGAAAAACATCCAACAGTTTCTTTGAAAATTCGTATTTTATCGGAAGAAACTTAGCTCACACGGCGTTCTTCCTTAGCACGGCAGTATAGCGGATTAGCGCTTCCTTGTAACATGAGCGAAATTCATCACAACGTCAAATTGAGTAACAATTGAGTAAATTGTGTCAATTTGAGTTGGCATAATAAGGATGAGTGAAAGTTTAGAAATGAGACCAAGGGCTCACTTGGAAAACCACAATTTTGGAATTAACGGATGAATGCAACAATTTTATAAGTATCAAAAATACTCTCGTAGTAATACTCTGAGAGGTAGAAACATTATGTCTTTGGATTGACAAATCGCGAAAGCCCTTGCTCGTGAAAGGGAAAGTAAAACTAATTTTCACGTAAATATCACCAAAACGTCTCTGCTGAAAATTCAGCCTTCCTCAGTTGGATAAAACAGTAAAAAATTGTAAAAATCTAAAAACGTAGTACTTGGCTGTACCTTTCAAGAACAATGTTGTTATGCTAGGAATTTTGGACTGTGTTATCAAAATACTGAGGAAGGCCGAGTTTCAGCCGAAGCAATTTGGTGATATTTACGTGAAAATTAGCCATATTACCCGCGGTGAAATTTGTTTTATTATTTCACACACACAGCATTTACTCATAGAGATAGAAACACTAGGATGTTGCAAGCACTTACGGGGAAAGTAATAGTGGTGGGTCAGAAATTGAATTAAGGGCACACTAAAAAGAGCATAGTTTGTAGATGACGCAACAATTTGAACAAGTATCAAAAACACGATTTTGGCATGCTTGTGGTAAAAACACTTGTACTTTGAGATCAAACTTGTGAAAGCACTTCATTGGGTCAGAAACAGGATTAAGGACACTTTCTAGTCGAGAGTCAAGGAGAAAGCAGGAACAAAAGAGGCAGAAAATGCGATTTTTAAAACATGTTTAAAAACACAAATGTATAGCATGTACTCCTGGGTGCAGAAACACTAGGATATTGAAATAAGACTTGTAAAAGCACTGTATTGGGTTAGAAACGGGATTGAGGGCACGGTTTCTGGTCGAAGTGAGGGTAAGAGCGAAAGTGAGCTTTTCAAATAAGAGAATTTAAAGAAGAAAAAACAAATGAAAGGCACACATGTAGCATGTATTTCTTGGGGTAAAAACACCAGGATATTTAATTAAGACATATGATAGCACTTTTTAAGTTAGTAGCGGAGTTTCGAGAATTCTTTTTAGAAAAATATAAAAAGCACACGTAGCATGTACTCCTGAGGGAAGAAGCACTAGGATATTGAAATAAAGACTTGTGAAAGCACTTTATTGGGTTCAAAACGGGATTGAGGGCACTATTTTTGGTCAAGGTGAGGGCAGGAGCGAAAGTGAGCTCTTCAAATGCGAGAATTTAAAAATAATGTCTATGGAAGACACACACGTAGCATGTATTTCTAGGGGTAGGAGCGCAAGGAATTTGAAATAAGACATGTGAAAGCACTTTATTAGGTTAGTAACGGAGTTGGGAGAAATTTTTATGAAAAAAATATAAGACACACACACGGAGCATGTAGCTCTGTGGGTAGGAGCACTAAGATATTGAAACGGGAGTTGTGAAAGCACTTTATTGGGTTAGAGACGGGATTGAGGGCACTTTTTGGTCGAGGTAAGGGCAGGAGCGAAAGTGAGCTCTTCAAATGCGAGAATCTAAAAATAAAGTATACGGAAGACACACACGTAGCATGTATTTCTAGGGGTTGAAACATGAGGATATTGAAATAAAACATTTAAAAGCACTTTACTAGGTTAGTAACGGAGTAGGGAGAAATTTTTTTGAAAAAGTATAAAACACACACACGGAGCTTGTAGCTCTGAGGGTAGAAGCACTAGGATATTGAAACGGGAGTTGTGAAAGCACTTTATTAGGTTAGTAACGGAGTTGGGAGAATTTCGTCAAAAATATAAAAAACACGCACGGAGCATGTAGCTCTGAGGGTAGAAGCACTAGGATATTGAAACGGGAGTTGTGAAAGCACTTTATTGGGTTGGGGCGGGGATTGAGGGCACTCTCTTTGGTCGGAGGCGGAAGAGGCAGAAAGTGAGTAAACTTGGACATACGCTCATGTCGTCTGGAGCCGGTAGCGGGGCCTTGGCCCGGGTCGGGTCCGGGGCGCTGAAGTCGGGTCCGAGGCCGGTTGCGGGGCCGCTGGGGCCGGAGACGGAGTTAGGGCCGGCGGCCGTGCAGATCCGGAGGAGCAGAGCGAGGAGGCCGAGGCAGCGGTGCCGGGGGGTGGGGGCCATGGCCGAAGAGCATCGGGATCGGGATGAGGGCAGGCTACGGCGACGCGGACGCGGACGGAGGGTCCCGCCGGGCGGACGCTAGAGCGAGACCGGCGCGGGGGAGCGACAGCGTGGCATGAGTGCGACTGACAAACCAAAAGCCGGGAACAATCGAAAAGCCCCGGCCCCCGAGCCGCCGCCGAGCCGACCCGCCAGGCCGCCAGGCCGCCACGAGCAGCGGGCAACGCGCGTCGAGCCAGCTACGCCCTCGGCGTCCCACCGCCGAGACGCTAATAACCCGCCCGGGCGCGAGCCACGTCGATGACGTCACCACCAGCTGGACCACTGCCCGGGGTCAGCATCCCGGAGTTACCTACTCCAGCGGGAAGATTATTGAAATTGATAGACAAAGCGATCGACATAGAAGACATAGGAAACATGGAAGCGGTCAGATTATTGAAACTGATAGACAAAGCTATGGACAAAGGAGACATAGGGAGTATGGAGCGATTCTATTGGTTAAAATGGGTGGTTCCTACAGTCTGAGAGGGTAAATGATGAACTAACTAAAGGGTCTCTCGTGGGTTGCCGTTAGTTAGTCTACTCCTTTCCTCCTTGGTCCATTGCAACCACCCACTTCCTTCAATAGGATCCCTCCAAATCCCTTTCATCTTCTTTGTCTGTAGCTTTGTCTATCAATTTCCATAATCGGCCTGCTGGTTGGAACGGGTGGTTGTTATAGACTAAGAGGGAATGTGATGGACTAGCTACAAGGTACCTCTTGGGTTGCCGTTGACTAAGCTATTAATTACCTCATTTGGAAGTATTTCTGTCAAACGGAACTAAGCGCCAATTTGAGTTCCTTTTGAGGAATTTAGAATCCCGGATAGCGCGTTCTGTCAAACGGAACTTAGCACCATAGAAAATCATTGCGAGTATAGGAACGAATGAGCCCGACGCCCGGTTCCGCCGCCAATCCAAGCCCCCTCTACCTTCCTACCCCGATGGCGCTTAGTTCCGTTTGACAGACATACGTCCAATTGATAGACAAAGCGATTGACATAGAAGACATAGGAAACATAGAGCGATCCTACTGGTTGGAACGGGTGGTTGTCATAGACCAAGGGGTAAAATGATGGACTAACAACAAGGTACCTCTTGGGTTGCCGTCGACTAGGATATTAATTACCTCATTTGTCCATTACAATCACCCATTTCCACCAATAAGATCGCTTCATTTACAGTTTTTCTTCTTTGTCTATCGCTTTGTCTATATCAATTTCAATAATTATACGCAAACTTGAAACAGAGCAAATGACTTCAAAGTTACTGTATTGCCTCCTCTCCGGCAGCTCATCATGGCTCGCTGTATAACTCGACTCTCTACACTCCTAAATTGGCGTTAAAGTCTCCAAGCATATTTGCAATCTAAGTCCTCTTTTGTCTATTGCATCCTCCCGTTTCCAAAAACAGCGGGTTGACTATTGAAATTTTTAGACAGAGCTATAGACAAAAAAGACGTAAGGAGTATAGACCCACCCTATTGGTTGAAATGGGTGCTTCTTATGGACTAAGGGAGTGAATGATGGACCTACTATCGGGTGTCTCGTGGGTTGCCGTTAGTTAGTCTATTACGTGCGTCCTTCATCCATTGCAACCACCCGCCTCCACCAATAGAATCCCTCCATATCCTTTTTTTCTTCTTTGTCTATTGCTTTGTCTATCAATTTAAATTAATCAGCCCACAGGAGAGGTTTCGAAAAATTGGAACAAAAGCTGTTTTGGCGAAAATTCAATCAATATAAGCAATTCCAAACACTTCCGAGCTTAGGGAGGAGGAGCTGGGGGAGGGGGTCTAAGGGCTCCCCCCCAAAAAAAAACTCGAAATTTTAGAGTATCCAGTATAATGCTTGAGTCCATTTCGTCATGGACAATTACCGAATATGAACGTATTTCTGCCAAACGGAACTATAGACTTATAGAAAAGGTGGGGTGTGGTCTAAAAAGCTGGACAAGAAACAGTTGCAACAAAGTGGGCGTGATTACCTTCGAAGAAATGGAAAAGCGGGATTTTACATAACATCAAACGGAACTATGTGCCAGCTGGTTGCGGCACTTGTGAGCCGCGGGCATGGCAAAAGAGCGTTGTGGACAGGGCTCATGAGTTGATGACTCTGAGACGGAGCCGTGGCGACTGCTTCGAGTTTCGTCGCTGCTGACGTCACTGGCGTTTTATAATTCCCATTCATCCTTACGGCCCTCGACTGACGAACACGCCCCTTTTTCTCCACATATCTTTGGTTCCTCTGAAAACGCACGAGCAAACTCGAAACATCAACACAGAGAAATTGGAATTTTTCTTTAATGACTTGTTGGGGAAGAAAAATGCTGCGTTTTCCTTTCGATCTACTCTAAAAACAATACATTAATTATCCGGAAAATGCGCCTCGACTCTCTCTCTCTCTCTCTCTCTCCCCCTCTCCCTCTCTCTCCCTCTCTCACACGTCATTACGCAATATTCCTTTTTCATTATCTGATATTTCCCCTGCTTCTTTCCTCCATCAAATTGAAAGAGGAAAGATGAAAATGGTCGCATTTTGGATGTGTGTTGTATCATTCCGTCACAGTCTTTAAAATAAAATAGGGAGTCCTTGAAATACCCCTGGAACAAAAAACACTGGTGCCGTCCAATGAGAGAACAGACTTGATTCTCGGACATTTTACGACTACCAAGCTTGATAACTTTGCGAAGATGCTCGGAAAAATTCTTCATCTCTGTTCGAGCATTTAACTAAATATCGTGAAGGTCACCATCAATTGATGGCTTCACCACCTTCATCATCAGTGGAACCAAAAGTTTTCCCCGTAACTCAGAAGCGCGTATTCATTTACCACCGTAATGCTAATGAAAAAATATTATTTCATCACGTTTTTTTCATAATTCAATCAAAGGAAACGGATCGCAGTACATCTGAAATCTCGGCGCACGGTAGATCGAGTCGATAGGAGTAGTTGCACAAAATTTGGAAACATTAAACGTTCATAACTCCCGTTTATACAAAGCTTGGGGTTCTGAGAGTGGTACCATTGGTTTCCTGGAAAACTTTTCTAATAGAGGTACCCCTTCGAATTTAAAATGTGCCGGAATATACAGCAAAATTTGCAGTTTTAGTCAAAAATTTCAAGTCCGATCTCTCAGATTGACTCGATCCACTGTGCGGCGATTATACTGCCACGCTCAGGAAAAACTCCGCACTTATAAGCATTCGGAGGTTGCGAAGTTTCGCTTGCTAAAATACTTATTTTTGAGGAGAGTTATGATTCTTTTTCTCTGACATTTTCAGATCCCTCTTTTTAAATTTTAAGTAAAATTTTCTGAGACAATGGATGAAAAGCAATCACAGGTTTCCGAGAAAATCCGTGTTTTATCAAACGAAACTTGGCAACGACCGAAGGCTCATACGGTGTTATTCCTTCCAACGGGTAGAATACCGGACAAGTGAGAAAAATATATTACGTAAAGTATATTATAATTATAGAAAACATAACCGCGGTTAGATTAAGTTTGATCATATTTAACATCATTCTACAGTAATCTAACATAAACTACAAAAACCCTCAAAAACATTTTTCGGGCAAAAAATCCGGTCGAGGAAATTGACGTGTCACTTCCTTTTAATCAAGTATAAGATAGGCAAAAACCTTTGATGAATTCCCAAGGTCCACTAAGACTAATAATCATCAAAAAGTTCAAAAAAAAAATAAATCCCTTGCCAAAAATAAATAAAAAACCGATTTTGAGATAAATCCCTCGAATGAACTTGAAATCACAAAATCGGTCGAGGATGTCAACTGAAATTTTTCCCCCTTTAATTATGAGCTCCGCAACAAGCGTGACTCGCTTGTACCTTTTCATACACGAGCCGCACGAATTCATCTCTTCTTCTCTCCTCTCCTTCCGTCCATGGACAGAGGTCCAAAATTTTTCGGATTTACTGACGCGACCGGCTGCGGCTCGATGCTCTCAGTGAATCGGTGCCTTCTTATCATCCCTGATGTCGGCTTCAAGTCGGTTGCAATTTCACCAGTCGACCCATTTTTCCATAACCACATGTTAGACTTTTTCGAAACATGATTCATCTGAAACATGGATTTTTTTTTTAAGGGAGCTTACCATTTGCTTTGGACGGTAGGTAGGTTGTAAGTAATAATTGTTCTTATACTCTATCAGTTAAGTATAAAATACATCTGTACCATTGGATGACATTTCGACAGACACGTTAGGTCCGGACAAGTGAGGGGATTTCTGAATCGCAAAATTATTAGTGGAATTGTTATAGTGGAGGAGTTGAGTCCCTTCACGGAATGAGCCCCACTTAAGTCGACAGGTTGTACGTGTTTCTCTCTGACTTATGTGTCATCTTAGTATAATCCACCCATGTTTACGCACCGAGCCGCAGCCGGTCGCGTCAGTAAATCCGAAAAATTTTGGACCTCTGTCCATGGACGGAAGGAGAGGAGAGAAGAAGAGATGAATTCGTGCGGCTCGTGTATGAAAAGGTACAAGCGAGTCACGCTTGTTGCGGAGCTCATAATTAAAGGGGGAAAAATTTCAGTTGACATCCTCGACCGATTTTGTGATTTCAAGTTCATTCGAGGGATTTATCTCAAAATCGGTTTTTTATTTATTTTTGGCAAGGGATTTATTTTTTTTTTGAACTTTTTGATGATTATTAGTCTTAGTGGACCTTGGGAATTCATCAAAGGTTTTTGCCTATCTTATACTTGATTAAAAGGAAGTGACACGTCAATTTCCTCGACCGGATTTTTTGCCCGAAAAATGTTTTTGAGGGTTTTTGTAGTTTATATCAGGTCGTTTTTGGGTGAATAAGTACCTAAAGGTCTGGCTGTACGAAGAGCTAGCAAAACCGAAGCGTCGAAAAAACACAAGCAGTGTTGTTGATTTCTCCATAAGCCACCATGTTAGAAATGCCGGTTTGGTTCACACTTTGTATAAGTCAGAAATTAAATCCCTATGTGAATAAAATCCAGGAGTAACATACATGAATGGATTTATTATGGCTTTGACCATCTATTTATAGCAAAATTTACACAAATTAACATCGATTGACTTAAAAAATGTCGAAAAAACACAAGCAGTCGTTGCTTTTCCCGTAAGCCGCCGTGATA